AAAATTAACCGATCATCTCTGCGAACGCCAACTGCCCTGCGTCAGAGATGAGACATAATTGCTCACGATTCCTTTTTTTCGTTAAACCCCTAAAAAAACATAGCCTATGTCTTCGTATCAACACTGGGTAGAGGCATCTTCGCAGTCGAGATAGACTTGAAAGGCGTCTTCGTGCCTGGAGATTTTCTGACCGAGGTAAGGACGGCCCTGTCCCAGCGAACTTACAAATAAGGCCTAAATACAGAGTTGCTAGCCTGCTGGCTGACTGTGACGGCGGCCATACCCGAAACATCATCTTCAGCATCGTCTGCCTGTTGAACAGCTTGCATAATCCGGATATCCGCTAATAATTGGATAGTTCGACGGAGTGAATGAAAGCTCATATTCTTCTGGGGACTTTTATCGCAAGCGGTTTCACATTCAGGCACACAATTAATCTAGCTGCGGCTCTACTGAACATGCTCCACGACATCCTTCAGCGGCGGAGACCGATCTTCAGCAAGGATCACTTTCAGGACTATTCTAGAAGCTAGACGTAATTTAATTCATGATATTACGAACGTCATAGAGAGTCAATCCAACACTGCTCTCCTTCTCCCCTGTCTGTCTCTGAAAACTAAACGCAGAGTATACTTTCGTAATTTTGTGGAAATACTTAGGGGCGGGGAATGCGTCTAAGCTTGCCTTATTGGAATGATCCAAGGGCAGCGATCGGAGATTAGGCCTCGTCCTCACTCCTGTCTCACCGATGAAGCCAGACTTTCCCGGCTTCAACACCTACAGAAAGACTACACAACTGGCTCTTTGGTACGCATTGGTCATCGCGCCTCTGTGAAAGTCATAGTCATACAAACAACATCGATGTAGGCAAAGAGCTGGTCTCTACGCGGCCCACTGAATTCGAGGTTGCACATTTATACAAGTGCAAACGCCAACTGCCCCACGTCAGGGATGCGACATAATCGTTCGCCATGCCTATGTTTCGTCTAACCCCTAAACATGGCATATCCTACATTCTCATATTAGCACTACGTAGAGCCATCGACGTAGCCGAGATCGATCTGATTGCGTCTTCGAGTCTGGCTTATTTTCTGACCGAACTTCGTAGACGAGGACGGAATCAGATCGGCGACCGTCGGACCTCAGAAAGTAATATTAATAGCATAGCATAGAAGATCCTCTGTCGTCAAGCTACCAACCCCTCCGATTAAGCTAAGTTGGACGCCAAACGGGGGAGGCAACAACGATCCCGAATCTCAACCCGGTGGCCTCCCCCCCCTACTTAAGTGTTTACCTTTATTCACAAAGGGAAGCCAAGGCAATGGAGAAAACAAAACTGACTAGAAGAGCCACAGATTTTCTTTAAAGTCGTATTTGTTCTTTGTGTAAACACCTGTGCACACATTTACGCCTTAGGAAGCAGTACAAATAGGACGTGTACACAGACCGGGATTGTCTGATTTAAAATACACACACAGAGCATGCAATCTGTGCTGTACATCATAAAGGGCCAAACAGTGCAGGCGAGATAGGAGATGATTTAAAGTGTGAAAAGTGTGATGTAAAGTGCATCATGGCACAACAGTTTCACCTCATTCATAGCAGCTCGCCCGAGTTCCTGCCCTTCCACTGGTGGGGCCACGGTCGACGTCGCCGTAACCTTTCGTGGACCTTCCAAGAGCAGAATGCTTCTGATGTGCAGATTCTGGTTCTCCAACACCGTGGAGGCGGCGCAGGAGCATCCAGTCTGGAAAGACTCTTCTAGCGGACATAATTGTAAAGACACATGTTGAAGGGTCGAACACAACGACAGGCATATCGACGACGTATTCTCGTGTCCTTGCTGTACATGAAGTTGAACGCGGACCACTCGTTGCAGTGGTGTTGCTGGCATAACTCGAAGCATTCCTTGCCGGTGGGAACGAGGCAGAGGAAGTTTCCGGTTTCTGTGGGGGGGTGAAAAAAAAGGGCGCCATTAAGAACAGAGTTTACAAAAGACGTAGTAAACCTCCTATATCACTGAAATCTATCAGTCAAACTTAGGTCAAAAATCAACACCTGAATGCGAGGAGACATAATAGCTCACCTTTGTCAAATCGGTAGCCTTCTTCGGGACAGGCGGCTGAGAACTGTAGTTTCCTTTTATATCGGCCTGCAAAAGAACGAAAACAAGCAAATTGAGAATGACCGCACGGTGAAGAGAAGGCAATGATTGTAGAACGTTTAGG